GTACACGCCTTTAGGTTATTATGACAGTGTGTTTTCAAGAGATTTGTGAGTGAGCTGTTTTCAGTTCGTCAATAACACCGGACTTGTCTGTGTCGAAAAAGTGGTAAAAAATGACCAGCATGTCAGCGTGCTGTAAATACATGATTTTTTGTTTCCACTAGGGCTCGAGATAAATACAAAGCCCAAATAAGCTATCTTTTGGGGTAAACAACCTACGATTTTAGAAAAATAGTTTTCGTAACGTCCAGGTCATTTCACTTTATTTTTCCAAATTTCAAATCGAAATATTGAGAACTGGGTGAGCAGGATTTTTCTAACCGTGGCAACTGTGGCTTAACGACCTATAGTTCAAATATCTACAGTTGTGCCCCAACGGTTTGCCAGACTAGGGGATATGTGAAGATGAAGGTGAAGGTGAAGGTGACGGTTACCGGGAAAGTGGAGGTGAAGGTGACGGTTGTAACGCACGGCCTGTAAATGAAGGCTCGTCACTGATATGTCGGAGCAAAGGGTCATTGAATGGTTTCAAAAGAACCAGGATCACGAATGCTGGAGCCTAGTTTCGAACCCGGCGGCCGACACGTGTGTTTTTCTACCAAATCTCTTCCTTTCATTAATGTTATCATATCAAAGCATATCATTATCATATCATAAACTAAAGTTGTTCCCGCATTCGATCCGGACATTGGGGGTTGCCTTGTTAGTGAGACAACTTCCTATGCCTTCAGCATAATATTGTGGTAGAGTTACCAGTTCCTTTCCACGCCGCCTTTACTTCCCCAACTCGAAGTCAGGTACCCATTACTGCTGGGTGGGCAGGAGGTGGCGAAAAAAACCCGTACTGACTGCTCCACCACCATCCCCTCTATCATATCATATTATTATCATATTATAATGCTACTTCAAGTTCTTTTTCTCCTTGGATTATTTCGCAATTAAAATAAAGGTTAAGAGGTTAATTCTAAGATAATAGAAGGGCCATTCGTATCCCGTCAGTTTTTGTTTTGAGTATATTGAAAACGACAAGGCATGCACAAAGTACGGACCCGGACCTATAGTGTAGCGGTTAGACTCTTCACCGTCGTACATTGAAAACCCGAGTTCAATTCCCGAGTGAGGATAATTTTTATTGAGCGCCTGGTCTTTTTGCTGGGACGTATATACAGTGGTGTACAAAAGAAACTTGAAAATGCAATCGCCGAATCATTGAGTTAAAACCTTGCACTACCCACTCATGCAGCATACCAATTTGAAGTCTGCTTCATCTGACACTTTAATATTTCATCCCAGAGTAACTCGAGATATGGTCACTCGAAATCAACCTTAAACAATCAGGCTGTAAATAGTATCCATCTCAGAATGGGCTGGCCCTGACTGGCAAGATCATAGCCCGCCTCCTTATTGATCTAAACAGTGTCCCTGGAGGCTTAAAACATTGACTTTTAAATCGTCAGTCTTATCGCTATCCCTGTATGGAGCATTTAGATACTTCTGAGAAAATGTAGGAACAATCTTTAAAAAAAATAAAATTAGTCTAATACGCCTTTTTAGCCTCTCGTACAATTTATATTTGTGATGATGTCACGAATGATTAAAGCAAAGTAAAATGTGACAGCTGCTTTTTAAGATTGTGCTTTGGTCAAATGCCTTAATTTAGATCAGAGCTTTCAAAATAATGTTCCTTACGTGGATAGCGAACTACTGTATTGACGAAATACAACAGAAGAAATTACGCACATGCCGCTTTCCAGCATTTCATTCTTGAGTTGTTGCATGTAAGCCATTGTGTGATCTACCACTGCACGGCTACTTCTGTGGACAGGTCAAAGTTGTTGGGATTATAATAATAATAATAAATTGCATTTATATAGCGCATTTCCACAAAGAAGTGCTCAATGCGCTGTACGATAATACAAAGAACATGTGCTGCGCACAGCTCCTATAGTAATCCTCTTTCTCTCTCTCTCTCTCTCTCTCTC